TGCTGGTTTTATTGTCTAATTCTCACTGATATAGGCTTTTTTTTTCTTCATTAATGATATGTAGCTGTGGCAACATATAATTTATTTTACTGTAGTTGAAGTTATTTACATGATCAGTCTTTCTCATAAATTAAGTTCCTTTATCAGCAAAGAACCAAATAAACTAGTAGCATTTCTTGATTGAGGCAGTTTTCTTATCTCTTTATTCATTTTTCAGAATATTTATTGCCTTTCTCTGGTCTTCCAGATATGTTGTTTTTTTTTTGTCAAGTTGCTCATCATCATCAACAATGCCCTTTTTAGCATGTTGAACCTTACAAATTACTGTTGTTAATTAATTAAACAGTGTCTTTTCTACTTACGAGTCTTGCTAGACTTTTAACTAGATCATCTCTTTACATTCTTGATGAAATGGATCAATTACTCTGGAAGTGCTCATTTGAAATGTTTCAGATTTTAGTTGTAGGACATTAGTGAATTTGATGTTAGAGAAAACATTATGCATCTTCCAGTTATTCTGAATTCTGTAGTACCATTTGCAAGTCATTGATGTTCAACCTATAAGTATAAACATGAGTATCGTCTGTATACGATCAACATTGTAAATGCCTATGCCACTCTTATGCAACATATTTGATGAATTTGATATAGTTTTTAATTTGCTACAGGGATATAGGATGCTTGGTAGTGTCTAAACCCACCAACTACAATATAAAAATAAGTGGAAGATAGTGTCTGTGCTCTGGTGTTATATGATGCCAGTATTTCAGTGGTGGAGAATTGCTCGGATGTGAGCATTAGAATGAGTAACGAATTATAGGTACTCGTTATCAACTCTCAAACACCATTTAGAGACTTATCTCTGGAAGAAATGGCTGATTGGAGCTGAATGCATGTGGATTAACACGAGTGGTATAGGAATGTTGTCTGAGACAGATGATTAGTAGAAAGTTTTCAACGTCCTTGATTTGAGTTAGAAGAGGAATTTGGACTTGGAGAGGGCAGAATTAAGACTACTTTTCTTGTATTTTTCTGCAAACAGTACATGATACTGCCTCAAAAGACAATGTTTTTGGTGCAGAAGAGGCTCTTTTGCCTTCTCTCGTGTAACAAGTCCACCGTCCATGTTTCCTCCTATCAACTCTGCAGTCTGTTTAGCTTTACCACTGCCGAAGAGCACAGTTTAAATCATGGATCCAACTTTACGTTGGTCGACCCCCTTGAGTCATGTGAACTTTCCTCAAAAGAGGCTGCAAAAAGGGCCAAGGATCGCATCTGTGACAAAGAACTTTCAAGTTCAAGTCCTTCCATTGAGTTCTTCAAGCAGAGCGGTTGGAGTGATCCACTAGTCATGAAGCTTTTGCAGAGGGAACCCAGGCTTCTACGTGCTAACGTAGAGACTATCCTGAAGCCCAGGATGAGATCTTTGCAGGACATGGGATTTTCTGACACCGAAATAGTTCAGCTGGTTTCATCATGTCCGTGTCTGCTCTATTTACGTGATATCCAACCAAGGATCAACTTCTGGAGGTCACTTCTTGGTTCTAATGAGAGGTTAATTAAAGCCAGCAGGGGGAACATGTTTCTCCTTACTTCTAGCGTGGCTCAAAAGATTGAGCCCAATATATCTCTCTTGAGGGAACGTGGCATCAGTGAGCAATGCATCACGCAGATGTTGGTGGCAGTACCGAGTTTTTTTTGTCGAATGAACAAATATATCGACGAATCTATCAAACGTGTTGAAGAGTTGGGAGTGTCACGTGACTCTAAAATGTTCCCTCATGCACTTTTAACAGTCATGACCTTGAGCAGGTCCAGGTTTGATGCTACCTTTGCAACCTTGATGAGCTTTGGGTGGTCCCAACCAGACAGCCTTGCTACATTCAGGAGGTATCCATTCATTTGGAATTACTCAAAGAAGAACTTATCTGACAAGATGACATTCCTGATGAAGGAAGCTGGTTGTGAGCTGACATATATCATTGGCCATCCCACGCTTCTTACATTTAGCTTGGAGAAGAGGTTGAGACCTCGATGTGAAGTTATGAATTTTCTTGATCATAATAAATTGCTGGATAAAGGACATGACCTGCTATCTGTCATGCTGCTAAGCGAAGAGAAGTTCAGAAACAAATTCCTTTTCCTGCTACGCAAGGAGAAATTTATTGCTCAATATGATTCCTATGTTGTTGCTGTGCACGGAAAGCATGACGTTATTGCCGAAAACTAGGATTGCAAGTGCTTCCTTAAGACAAAGTGTCGACCTATTGCATGCTGACTGCAAATTAATCATTTTACATTTGTGACAATTTAAAATTCTCCTTGAGTTTCTTGGAGTATAACTTCCCTGTTGATTTGGTGATTGTTCTTCTATTTATGTTTTCTACAACAAAAGGTACTCATTCTTTTATGCTGATGTCTCAGAAATTGGTATGGGGGAAAGTCAATTACTTAAGAAAGATAACCAAAATATCAAGCTTTTGTGTTCTGTTTCTATCATATTTACCTGATTCCGCCAGCCATATTGATAACTGTGCTGTCATTTAGATGATTGTGATCTAATTTAATAAGGATACCTTCCTTTTGAATGGGGACATCTCAAAGAATTATGTAAGAGCCGCTTGGACAGAAAATACTTCAAAGGCAACCACAGATGTGGATATGACTAACATTTTTGTTGTAGTCATATACACACTCGCTCATTAAATAATTAAGTCCAGTTTAACCGTTTAATTGAACGCATTAAACAAACGATCTATATTAAGTTTGATACACATCTGTATTGTTATATAATTAGATTATGTGTTTTACTTTGCTTGTGCGATCTAATAGACCCAACATGGCTCCCGTTTAATTGTGTGTTTCATTTTTTTCTTATAATGTTGTATTATCATTTTGGTGTCTTCAACATAAGGAATAGTATCATTATTTTTTTAGTGATATGTTTAGTTACTAAAATTTTAACTTAATAAATAATTCTAAGAGGAAAGACTTAGAAAAGTGAACAAAATATATTGTTGGATGGTTGTTGGGGAACTATTGATTATAAATCAGTAATGATGTTATGATGTTAAAGAGTGTAAAATTATTTTTAAAAATTCTGAAAAGACATAAAAGATATGTATTTGTAAGATTTTGGATAATAAAAAAATACAAATGGAGTTTACATTTTTCAGCAATAGTTTTTGAACCAAACAAGTTTCAAAAAATTTACTGCTTATGTCCTCATTTATTTTTCAATATATTCCCTATTATGCATTAATAGACCTAGTTGAATAGATGATAATGCTATAAATCAGATACTCCTCATGATTGAAAAATTAGAAAATATCAAGATTTTTGTATTTAAGTTATTCGGACTCATTAAAACTCTACGACAACATGTTTTTTTTAGTTAATAATTTATTGATAAGTCCCTTCCACAAGTCACTGACAATCACTTCCTCATATGTTTATTTCATAATATAATTATTTATTTTAATTTTTTTAAAAAATAAATGGCTAACATAAGATTTCATCACGTGAGGATATTGAGTTCATTAAAAAAGGTCTTCTTCTTCGTGGCCCCTTTAGCAAGAAACTTTCAATTAGGAAGATCCGTGAAAACAACAAACAATAACCTTTAGTACTTTGAATAAGTATCTTATTAAATTATTTCTCGAGCACTCTACATTTACATGTTTGATCGGACCAATTAAGTTGCAATATTATCGACTACTTCTGTCTTTTTTTTTTTTCGTTAGGCCTTGATAAAAATCATATATATTTCTGTAAAGTCGATAAAGTTATCATCTAAGTAAGATACTTGAAACTAGTTATGACATACTACTATTGGGATGCATCCGTAAATTATAACAGACTTCTCCAAAATAGACCCAAAATCTCAATGTATTTAGTTAAGTATAACTAGTCCTAACTAAATCACAACTGGTTTGTTGTGATGGGTTTGAATCACAACTAAATCAATGCATTTAGTTAGGTATAAATATGACTGGTTTGAATTGAATCAAACCAGAATCGATGGTTCGTTGATTGCAAATCAAATCGTAATCTACTAGGGGTTGTTTAATTGAGGTTTCAAGGTTTGAAAAATTAGAATCAACGATACCATAATTGATTATTCCGCTTCCTATTTAAACCATCGATTTGATGGTGTTTTATATAGATAAAAACCTTGATCAAATAGGTTGTAGATAGATAATTTGGCTTAAACGATTGGGCCCAATAGTATGTGCATGGACTATATTTAGGGGTACTTTAGTTATTTTATAATTAAAAATATTAAAAATTAGAAAACAAATTAGTCCTTCCAATAAGCAAATAATAGCTAGTTATGAAGATATTTTAAGAAAAAATTAAAACCCTATAGATACCCCAAAAATCTTTTATTGTTTCTCGCATCATCGATTAAGTACTTGTTGAAGTTTGAACGCTTTGATGCTTTTTTCTTAATCTGATGGCAAGTGGAAGCTATCACTTCACCACAGAGGAGGCTTTTGAAAATCTGATCTTGATAATTCAAGAAAGCCAACATATCAATGTTGATGTTAAGATGTTGATAGATGACTTTTAAAAATATAGAAGAAAGAAGATATGATGACCAAACTCAAGTTAGACATCTTCAAGTTATACTTTAAAAACATCTGAAACACTGATAGCTCCTTCCATATTGTAATTATTGAGACTAAATTTTTAAATACAAAGAGGGAAGAAGATATAGAATATTTTGAAAGTATATCAAGAAGAAACATCCATTACAAGTTGGTACGATTATACCAGTGAAGATTCTCAATAAAAAGTTAATTTTTCTTCATTAATGATTGGTTGCATAAAGTTCTTTACTATACTATAGCAGAAGCGATTGACGACACCGGGCGCCCGATAAGTGGGCCGGGCGGATGAGTTCGACCGGGTGCGGCCCAGGCGCCGCATGATTTGGCTGTGTCGAGCCTTAGTCAAGTCTATTTGGAACTAAGGTTCGATTGAACCAGATGAGAACGGCATCCTCAAAGTCGCACCCGTGCCCTAAATGCCGCGGTGAAACTGTCTCCTCCTCTACAGCGACCACGACTGCGGCGTTTTCCACGGAGAACGGTGCATGCTGCGGCTTCCTCTCCGTCGGCGAACGGTGACAGCGCCCGGTATCTCTCTCTTACTCCTCCTCTTCCTCCTTCGCCGTTAGTTATATGTGCTTTCCCTGCACATCATCAACAGTGGCTTCTTTAGCATGTTGAACCTCACAAATTACTGTTGTTAATTTCTTAAACAGTGTGTTTTCTAATTACCAGTCTTGTTAGACCTATAACAAAATCATCTCTTTACATTCTTGTTGAAAAGGATCAATTATTCTGGAAGTGCTCATTTGAACTGTTACAGGTTTTAGTTGTAGGACATTAGTGAATCTGATGTTAGACAAAACATTATGCATCTTCCACCTAATCTTAGTGCTGAAGTACCCATTGCAAGTCATCGACTGATGTTCAACCTATTAGTACAAAGTTGAAAATCATCTGTATACAATCAACATAGTAAATGCCATTGTCACTCTTATGCTGCATATTTGATGAAAATACATTTGATATAATTTTTCAATATCTGCATGGATATAGTGTGCTTCACAGTTTCTAAAGCTACTACCTACAATAGATAAATAGCGGAAGGTAGTGTCAGTGTGCATGTGTCATATCAAGACATTATTTCAGTGGTGGTTAATACCTTGGATGTGAGCATGGTAATAAGTAAATGATCAATGGTACCCGTAATCAACATTCAAACACCATTTAGAGGCTTACATCTGAAAGAAATGGTTAATGGGAACTGAATGCAGGTGGATTTACGTGAGTGGTAGGGGAATGTTATCCGATACAGATGATTAGTTGGAAGCTTTCAACTTCCTTTTGGTTGGAAGCAGACACAGAAAATATATTTAGTTCAGCAATAAAACTACTTGTGTTTTTCTGCAAATAGTGTGTGATACTGCTTCAAAATATAATGTTTTTGGTGCAAAAGAGGCTCTTTTGCATTCTCCCATTTAACAAGTCCACCATCCATGTTTCTTCCTATGAACTCTTCAGTCTGCTTAGCTTTTCCACCGCCAAAGACCAAATTTCAGATCATAAATCCTACTTTACAGTGGCCAACCCCCTTCAATCATGTGAACTTTCCTCGGAAACGGCTGCAAAAACAGCCAAGTTCCTCACCTGTCACACAAAATCTTCAAGTTCAAGTCTTTCCATTGAGTTCTTTAAGCAGAGCGGTTGGAGTGATGCACGAGTCTTGAAGCTTACCCAGAGGGAACCCAGGTTCCTATGTGCTGACATAGAGACTGCCATGAAGCCCAAGTTGAGATCTTTGTAGGACATGGGATTTTCTGACACTGAAATAGTTCAGCTGGTTTCATCATGTCCGACTATGCTCCTTCTACATGACATCAAACAGAGGATCAACTTCTGGAGGTCACTTCTTGGTTCTAATGAGAGGTTAATTAAAGCCAGCCGGAGGAACATGTTTCTCTTTACTTCTAGCTTGGCTCGAAAGATTGAGCCCAATGTATCTCTCTCGAGGGAATGTGGCATCAGTGAGCAACGCATTGCGCAGATGGTGGTGAGACTACCAAATTTTTTATGTCAAACAGAAAAAATGTATCAAGGAAGTTATCAAATATGTTGAGGAGTTGGGTGTGTCACGTGGCTGTAAAATGTTCCCTCGTGTACTATTAGCAGTCATGACCCTGAGCAGGTCCAGGTTTGACGCTACCTTTGCAACCCTGATTAATTATGGGTGGTCCCAACCAGATTGCGTTGCTGCATTCAGGAAGTATCCATCCATTTAGTGTTTGCCAAAGAAGACCTTATGTGACTAGATGACATTCCAGATGAAGGAAGCTGGTTGTGAGTTGACATATATCATTTGCCGTCCTATAACGATTTTAGCTAGAATTGCCTAAGACATAAGGTACCTTTGCGTCAAAGACACGAACTTAGCTTGCGTTGTCTATGTCGCGCTTCGTCCTTACGATTTACGTTCGCAAAGATTAGCCCACTTGCAACCTCTCGCAGGTCTCGAAACATCTGTAAAAGAGAAAGTTGATTAGTTTAAAGAACGAGCGACGGACAAGTCCCGACGTCTCGCGAAAAAGAGAAGCTTTACAAGTAATTCAGCGAGCAACTTGTATGCACAAGAGAAAAGAGGGAGAGGGGGAAAACAAGGATTTTAGAAGGTTGAACGAACAGTTGTAAGTCCGCAAACAGTTGCTCACCCGACACTATACCGAGGTCTCATTCAGCCTTGTGCCACCCAGGTGGTTCTAGGGTGCTGAGATGGCTAACGTTTCACGTGCAGCAGCGGGCTGCAGAAATCAGCCTGTGGCATGGGAAAACAGAGCCTTTTTGGGGTCGTTTTGCTTGGTTCGGCGAGTGGTCACACCGTAGCGTTATAACTTATTCGAACTTACATTTTTACAAACAAAAAGACTTAAAACTAAGCCAAAACATGTTGCCAAGCAATTATACATGTAGACGAGAACGACGAATGATTCGGTGAACGGAGTTGTTCAAGGTGCGCAACGACCATTCATAACATTCTCCCCCACTCAAATTGTCGATGCCCTCGTCGACGCTTGTTGATAGTTGTTGATGATTGCTTCTTCATGTCATAGGGTGTCTTCAGGCTCCCAACTAGCTTCAGATCGGGGAAGCTTTCGCCACTTCACCAAGTACACGGTCTGCTCAGCTCTAGTGGGTAGCTTTATCTTGCGATCTGCTAGAATGGTTTCAACTCGCTTTTCGTAGGAGGCTGTGGTGGGGGGTAGCCAAGTTGGAACACTTCGGGAAGCATCTTGCGGATCCGAGTGGTAGGCTTTCAAGTTGCTGGCGTGAAGAATATTGTGAATGTTGAACCACGTCGGCAGCTGCAACTTGTAGGAGACATTATCCACCCTACTGATAATTGGGAAGGGCCCTTCATACTTGCGCACCAATCCTTTATGTATTTTGTTTCTAAAGAATTAGAGTGATGCTGGTTGGAGCTTGACCAACACCAAATCGTCGATCTTGAACTCTTACGGTCGCCTACCAAAGTTTGCCCACTTCATTCTTTTTGCTGTCTTCTCCAAGTAAGTCCACACAATATCTACATTTCGGTGTCACTCCCTTGCAAAGTGGTAGGCTGATGGATTACTCCCAGTATATCCAATTACTTTAGTGTGAGGAGTTGACGGTTGTTACCCTGTAATAATCTCGAAAGGGCTCTTGTTGGATGCAGAGCTTCGCTTCAAGTTATAGGAGAATTGGGCAATGTCCAATAACTTCATCCAATCTTGTTGGTTGGCACTCACGTAGTGCCGAAGAATATTGCTGTAGGAGATGAAAGCCACTGTCTCGACAATCTTAGACTTGTTCTTCGAATCAAAATACAATGCGTTGCCAATATTTAGATGATCAAATCTTATATTTGCTGGTTTAGTTTGAAGGAGAATATAATACTGGTAACAATAGAAAGAGATTTTAATGCTTTGACTAAATATGTTTTCTTACGCAAGCATAAATAGTTCGGATATTATGGCTTTTTATATTATTGTTATTGGTTGCACTTGTTGGATTTATTGGCAAATTCTCACTGATTTAGATTAATAGCTGAAGCAATTGAAGTCACCGAGCGCCCGATAAGTGGGCCGGGGGTGCGAGTTCAACCGGGTGCGGCCCAGGCGCCCGTCTGATTAAGGCTGGGTCTAGCCCAAGTCAAGTCAATTTGGATCTCTGGTTCGATTGAACCAGATGAGAACGGCATCCACAAATTCGCACCCGTGCCCTAAATGCAGCGGTGAAACTGTCTCCTTCTCCACAGCGACCGCGACTGCGGCGTTTTCCTTGGCGAAAGGCGGCAGCTGCGGTGGCATCTTCCTACGTCGAGCTCTTATCGCTGCGGCGTTTTCCTCGGCAAACGGTGGATGCTGCGGTTTCCTCTCCGTCGGCGAACGGTGATAGCGCCCGGTATCTCTCTCTTACACATCCTCCTCCTCCTCTTCCTCCTTCTCCGTCGCAAAATCCCTTCCCCTCTCTCTTTCCCCGTTCATCGCAGCCCACCGCCGCCCCGGCCTCATCGCTGCCCCCTTTCCCCAATCCCTCCTTCCTCTTCCCCTTTCGCCACAGCTCTCCCTCTTCCCCGACACCGTCCCACGACTCCATATGTAGCTGACGCTACATATAATTTTTTTAGTGTAGTTTAAGTTATTTACATGAGGAATCTTTCTCATAAATTAAGTTCCTTTATCAGCATAGAACCAAATAAACTAGTAGCATTTCTTGATTGAGGCAGTTTTCTTATCCCTTTATTCATTTTTCAGAAAATTTATTGCCTTTCTCTGGCCTTCCAGCTATGTTGTTTTTTTTTGGTCAAGTTGCTCATCATCATCAACAATGCCCTTTTTAGCATGTTGAACCTCACAAATTACCCTTGTTAATTAATTAAACAGTGTCTTTTCTGCTTACCAGTCTTGCTAGACTTTTAACTAGATCATCTCTTTACATTCTTAATGAAATGGATCAATTACTCCCCAATGTTTCAGATTTTAGTTGTAGGACATTAGTGAAATCGATGTTAGAAAAAACATTATGCATCTTCCAGTTATTCTGAATTCTGTAGTACCATTTGCAAGTCATTGATGTTCAACCTATAAGTATAAACATGAGTATCGTCTGTATACGATCGACATTGTAAATGCCTATGCCACTCTTATGCAGCATATTTGATGAAGACACATTTGATATGGTTTTTAAATTGCTACAGGGATATCTGATGCTTGGTAGTGTCTAAACCCACCAACTACAATATAAAAATAAGTGGAAGATAGTGTCTGTGCGCTGGTGTTATATGATGCCATTATTTCAGTGGTGGAGAATTGCCCGGTTGTGAGCATTAGAATGAGTAACTAATTATAGGTACTTGTTATCAACTCTCAAACACCATTTAGAGACTTATCTCTGGCAGAAATGGCTGATTGGAACTGAATGCATGTGGATTAACACGAGTGGTATAGGAATGTTGTCTGAGACAGATGATTAGTAGAAAGTTTTCAACATCCTTGATTTGAGGTAGAAGAGGAATTTGGACTTGGAGAGGGCAGATTAAGACTACTTTTCTTGTATTTTTCTGCAAACAGTACGTGATACTGCCTCGAAAGACAATGTTTTTGGTGCAGAAAAGGCTCTTTTGCCTTCTCTCATGTAACAAGTCCACCATCCATGTTTCCTCCTATCAACTCTGCAGTCTGTTTAGATTTTCCACTGCCGAAGAGCACAGTTCAAATCATGGATCAAACTTTACGTTGGTCGACCCCCTTGAGTCATGTGAACTTTCCTCAAAAGAGGCTGCAAAAAGGGCCAAGGATCGCATCTGTGAAAAAGAACTTACAAGTTCAAGTCCTTCCATTGAGTTCTTCAAGCAGAGCGGTTGGAGTGATGCACTAGTCATGAAGCTTTTGCAGAGGGAACCCAGGTTGTTGCTCGCTAATGTAGAGACTGCCCTGAAGCCCAGGATGAGATCCTTGCAGGACATGGGATTTTCTGACACTGAAATAATTCAGCTGGTTTCATCATGTCCTACTCTGCTCCGTTTAAGTGATATCCAACCAAGGATCAACTTCTGGAGGTCACTTCTTGGTTCTAATGAGAGGTTAATTAAAGCCAGCAGGAGGAACATATTTCTCCTTACTTCTAGCTTGGCTCAAAAGATTGAGCCCAATATATCTCTCTTGAGGGAATGTGGCATCAGTGAGCAATGCATCACGCAGATGCTGGTGGTAGTACCGAGTTTTTTTTGTCGAAAGAACAATTGTGTCAATGAATCTATCAAACGTGTTGAGGAGTTTGGTGTGTCACGTGACAGTAAAATGTTCCCTCAGGTACTTTTAACAGTCATGACCCTCAGCTGGTCCAGGTTTCATGCTACTTTTGAAACCCTGATGAGCTTTGGGTGGTCCCAACCAGACAGCATTGCTGCATTCAGTAGGTATCCAGTCATTTGGAATTACTCAAAGAAGAACTTATCTGACAAGATGACATTCCTGATGAAGGAAGCTGGTTGTGAGCTGACATATATCGTTGGTCATCCCATGCTTCTTACATATAGCTTGGAGAAGAGGTTGAGACCTCGATATGAAGTTATGAATTTTCTTGATCAGAATAAATTGCTGGATAAAGGACATGACCTGCTATCTGTCATCCTGCTATCTGAAGAGAAGTTCAGAAACAAATTCCTTTTCCTGCTACGCAAGGAGAAATTTATTGCTCAATATGATTCCTATGTTGTTGCTGTGCGGGGAAAGCACTACGTTGTTGTGGAAAACTAGGATTGCAAGTGCTTCCTTAAGACAAAGTGTCGACCTATTGCATGCTGACTGCAAATTAATCATTTTACATTTGTGACAATTTAAAATTCTCCTTGAGTTTCTTGGAGTATAACTTCCCTGTTGATTTGGTGATTGTTCTTCTATTTATGTTTTCTACAACAAATGGTACTCATTCTTTTATGCTGATGTCTCAGAAATTGGTGTGGGGGAAAGTCAATTACTTAAGAAAGGTAACCAAAATATCAAGCTTTTGTTTTCTGTTTCTATCATATTTACCTGATTCTGGCAGCCATATTGATTACTGTGCTGTCATTTAGATGATTGTGATCTAATTTAATAAGGATACCTTCCTTTTGAATGGGGACATCTCAAAGAATTATGTAAGAGCCGCTTGGACGGAAAATACTTCAAAGGCAACCACAGATGTGGATATGACTAACATTTTTGTTGTAGTCATATACACACTCGCTCATTAAATAATTAAGTCCAGTTTAACCGTTTAATTGAACGCATTAAACAACCTATCTATATTAAGTTTGATACACATCTGTATTGTTATATAATTAGATTGTGTGTTTTACTTTGCTTGTGCGATCTAATAGACCCAACATTGCTCCCGTTTAATTGTGTGTTTCATTTTTTTCTTATAATGTTGTATTATCATTTTGGTGTCTTCAACATAAGGAATAGTATCATTATTTTTTTAGTGATATGTTTAGTTACTAAAACTTTAACTTAATAAAAATTTCTAAGAGGAAAGACTCAGAAAAGTGAACAAAATATATTGTTGGATGGTTGTGGGGGAACTATTGATTATAAATCAGTAATGATGTTATGATGTTGAAGAGTGTAAACTTCTTTTTAAAAATTATGAAAAGACATAAAAGATATGCATTTGTAAGATTTTGGATAATAAAAAAATACAAATGAAGTTTACATTTTTCAGCAATAGTTTTTGAACCAAACAATAACCTTTAGTACTTTGAATAATTATCTTATTGAATTGTTTCTCAAACACTATGTACTTCTATGTTTTTTATCATGGGAATGACCTATTAAGTTGTAACATCATTAACTATTTTTGTTTTTTTTCTTTTTCATTAGGTCTCAATAAAATTCATCTATATTTTTATAAGGTCGATAAAATCATCATCTAAGTAAGATACTTGAAACGGATTATATAAACTACTCCTGTTGGGATGCATATGTAAGTTATGACATACTACTCCAAAATAGACCCAAAATCTCAATGCATTTAGTTAACTATAACTAGTCCTAACTAAATCACAACTGATTTGTTCTGACGGGTTTGAATCACAACTGAATCAATGCATTTAGTTAGGTATAAATATGACTGGTTTGAATTGAATCAAACAGGTTCGTTGATTGCAAATCAAATCGTAATCTACCAGGGGTAATTTAATTGAGGTTCCTAGGTTTGAAAAATTAAAATCAATGATCCCATAATTGATTATTCCGCTTCCTATTTAAACCATCGATTTGATGGTGTTTTATATAGATAAAAAACCCCAATCAAATAGGTTATAGATGGATAATTGGGCTTAAACAATTGGGCCCAATAGTATGTGCTTGGACCAACAATCGAATGAATGTCAAATTGGCTATATTTATGGGTACTTTAGTTATTTTATAATTAAAAATATTAAAATTAGAAAATAAATTAGTCATTCCAATAAGCAAATAATAGCTAGTTATGAAGATATTTTAAGAAAATAAAAATAAAAACCCTATAGATACCCCCAAAAAATCTTTTATTGTTTCTCAGATTAAGTATTTGTTGAAGTTTGAATGATTTGATGCTCTTTTCTTAATCCGATAGCAAGTGGAAGCTATCACTTCACCATTGAGGAGGCTTTTGGATCATGTGAAACATTAGCTATATTTATTTTTGTTAAATATTTATTTATATCTACAATGGAATGTCTGTGAAATAGTTTTAAAAATTTTAAAAGTTTTTAGAATGGTAACATATAGTTTGACTAGTGTTTATATGTTACTGTAAATTTTTTTTCTTAGTTGTTTGCATTGATATAGTTGGTGCATTATAAGAATATCAATACGATAATAATTTAAATTTGATAATAATGGCTACAAAATAAAAAATATAAATTATTATTATTAAATTTATTGATTTATTTAATTATATGGGTTTTTAATTTTGTATAGATTAAATGACTTTTGTAATTATTTAACCGCTTATTATGAAAGTTTAGGAGTCGATGATATTAGTGATAAGATTAAAGATATTAAAAAATTAATTATTAACTTACATAATGTTAACTATAGTAGACAACATGATACCTTTGAAACTTCTTGGATCTAAGTTAGCAAAGGTAATAAAATTTGTAAGGGAGAAAAACTATTATTACAAAGACAAAAGCATCGAAAGGATCTTAAAGCTAAAACTTCAAGTTTATTTTGTATCTAATAATGTTTTTAAAGTTTGATGATAGCTCTAAGTATAGAGTTTTCTATTCTTGAATAATGGACATGATACATAAAAACATTTTTAGTTTTAAGGATTAATACTAGTACTTTAGTGTCCATAGTATCTGTGGAGTCAACCTTCAATATAAGAGGACGAGTTCTATGTGAAACTAGATTAAATATGACTCTCGAACCAATTGATGTTTAAGTATGTATTAATAGATAAAAGCGATAAAATAGAACCAATACAAAGATGTCCAATATTAAAATTGATTAAATATTTATAAATTTACATAAATTTGTATTAACTTTTTTTATTATATCCTAACACATTATACATCCATGTTTAAATTAAAAAAATTATAATTTTTAAATAAAAATAATAAAAAAAATATCAGTTCAAACTAAAATCAAAATCGATCAAACTGGAACTGAACCTTACCGGTTCGATTTTTTATTATAAATTTTGCCAAACTAGAAATGATAATTCCGGAATTGAAATCAATTTACTTAGACTAGATATAACCTTACTGAAAGCCACCCTCTCCATAATCTGAGACTTGTTCTTTAACTCAAAACACAATGCCCTATCAATATTAAGATTATCAAATCTTATATTTGCTGGTTTAGTTAGTGAGTTGAAGGAGAATATAATAATATGGTAACAATAAAAAGAGATTTGAATGCTTTAAATTTGACTACATATGTTTTCTTACACAGAGCATAAATAGTTTGGATATTATGGCTTTTGTTATTATTGTTATTGTTTGCACTTGTTGGATTTGTTAGCAAATTCTCACTGATTTAGATTATGTCAGTGAAGATTCTCACTGATTTAGATTATGGTTTTATTGAGAAAGTTCTTTACTACAGCTGAAGCCATTGATGTCACCGGCCGCCCGATAAGTGGGCCGAGCGAGCGAGTTCAACCGGGTGCAGCCCAGGCGCCCACGTGATTCAGATTGCCTCAAGCCCGAGTCAAGTCAATTTGGACAAATGGTTCGATTGAACCAGATGAGAACGGCTTCCTCAAAATTCCCACCCGTGCCCTAACTGCAGAGGTGAAACTGTCTCCTCCTATACAGCGACCGCGAATGCGGCGTTTTACTTGGCGAAAGGCGGCTGAAGCGGCGGCATCTTCCTCCGTCGAGCTCTTATCGCTGCGGCGTTTTCCTCGGAGAACGGTGGATGCTGCGGCTTCCTCTCCGTCGGCGAATGGTGACAGCGCCCGGTATCTCTCTCTTACTCCTCCTCCTCTTCCTCCGTCGCCGTTAATTATATGTGCTTTCCTCCGTCGCACAATTCCTTCCCCTCTCTCTTCCCCCGTTCATCGCAGCCCACGGCCGCCCCCGCCTCGTCGCTGCCCCCTTTCCCCAATCCCTCCTTCCTCTTCCCCTTTCGCGACAGCTCTCCCGCTTCCCGCTTCCCGCTTCCCCGACACCGCCCCCAGACTCCATATGTAGCTGATGCTACATATAATTTTTTTTACTGTAGTTGAAGTTATTTACATGAGCAATCTTTCTCATAAATTAAGTTCTTTTATCAGCATAGAACCAAATAAACTAGTAGCATTTCTTGATTGAGGCAGTTTTCTTAGCTCTGTATTCATTTTTAAGAAAATTTATTGCCTTTCTCTGGTCTTCCAGCTATGTTGTTTTTTTTTTTTGTCAAGTTGCTTAGCATCATCAACAATGCCTTTTTTAGCATGTTGAACCTCACAATTTACTGTTGTTAATTAATTCAACAGTGTCTTTTCTACTGACCGGTCTTGCAAGACTTATAACTAGATCATCTCTCTAAATTCTTGATGAAAAGGATCAATTATTCTGGAAGTGCTTATTTGAAATGTTCCAGGTTTTAGTTATAGGACATTAGTGAATCTGATGTTAGAGAAAACATTATGCACCTTCCTGTTACTCTGAATTCTGTACTACCATTTGCGAGTCATTGATGTTCAACCTACAAGTATAAACTTGAGTATCGTCTGTGTACGATCGACATTGTAAATGCCTATGCCACTCTTATGCAGCATATTTGATGAAGATACATTTGATATGGTTTTTCAATTGCTACAGGGATATAGGATGCTTGATAGTGTCTAAACCCACCAACTACAATATAAAAATAAGTGGAAGATAGTGTCTGTGCTCTGGTGTTATATGATGCCAGTATTTCAGTGGTGGAGAATTGCTCGGATGTGAGCATTAGAATGAGTAACGAATTATAGGTACTCGTTATCAACTCTCAAACACCATTTAGAGACTTATCTCTGGAAGAAATGGCTGATTGGAGCTGAATGCATGTGGATTAACACGAGTGGTATAGGAATGTTGTCTGAGACAGATGATTAGTAGAAATTTTTCAACATCCTTGATTTGAGGTAGAAGAGGAATTTGGACTTGGAGAGGGCAGATTAAGACTACTTTTCTTGTATTTTTCTGCAAACAGTACGTGATACTGCCTCAAAAGACAATGTTTTTGGTGCAGAAGAGGCTCTTTTGCCTTCTCTCGTGTAACAAGTCCACTGTCCATGTTTCCTCCTATCAACTCTGCAGTCTGTTTAGCTTTTCCACTGCCGAAGAGCACAGTTCAAATCATGGATCCAACTTTACGTTGGTCGACCCCCTTGAGTCATGTGAACTTTCCTCAAAAGAGGCTGCAAAAAGGGCCAAGGATCGCATCTGTGAAAAAGAACTTTCAAGTTCAAGTCCTTCCATTGAGTTCTTCAAGCA